CCCCACTAATCCATAGAGGCTGTTGGAACCTCTTTGAAGGTTGGGAGAGATACCATCAGGGAATTTCTGGTTTGCCAGAAAACTTGGTTTGCCCTGCTGTCTGCTCTCCCTCCCTTCCCCTCCCTCCAGCCTCTGATCCATCCTGGCCCAGTCATTCCCCAAATCTATCTCTTGCTCTGAAGAAAATCCTTGTGCTCTCCCCAAGAGCTCCAAATGACTTGTCCCTTCCTTCTTTTGGGTCACCTCCCCAGGAAGACCTTCCCTGACCAAGTAACCAAAAGTCTCTTTCCCTCCCCTGGTCACTCTCTAACTTCTAATTCTGCCTTTTTAAATTTTTTTAAAAAAATTAATAACCATCGTTGCTTTTGGAACCACACTACATATTTATTGGCATATTTCCTTTCTCCCACATTGTAACATGAATTCCACCAGAGCAGGACTTGGCTTGTTGTGCTGTGGATAGTCCTCGAACTAGTTCTGGGGCTCAGTTGCTATTTGCCACAAAGCTGAGTGATTGGCTAAGGACTGTTCTATGTGGTGTGGGCTCCAAACTCACTCAACCAGGCCTGATCGGGCTCCAGGGCTAAGAGTACACTGGGAGGGGGAAAACTTGAACTTGAAGACATTTCCTCTTGCATTTGTTCCAAGCAGCTCTGCTTCTGGACACAGCGGCTAAGAAGGGTGTCATCATGGGATGGCAGGAGAATGGCCTTGACAAACCCAGAATCCAAAGTGGAGGGGCCAGGTGGGGTAGTGGGAGCTGAGAAGAAGCCAAGCAAGACTGGCTTAGGGAGGAGGAGGAGGAGATAGGTGGGACCTCCCTCTGGATGGAGTCTCTGTGGACAGATGTAGGGCTGGTAAAGGTTGTGAGCAGTAAGAGTGCCAGGGTGAGATTGGGAAGGGGGATCAGCAAGGCTTAGGGGGGATTGGGCAGGCTAGAGCCCCCAGGCCCCTTGGGAAGCTGAGGGAGAGCATTGCCTGGACTGGGGCGAAGAGGGAGAGCTAGGGAGGGCTGGCCTCCATGTGGTTGGAGGCAGGGAACCTGGCTATACCAGCAGGGCTCCCTCCTGGATGTCAGTCTGTTTCTTTCCAGGTGCAGAAATGCCTACAACAGTTCATGGTGACAAAGGCACAGCTCCAGCAGATCCAGGACAGCCTCCTAGACTCCATGGAGCAGGCACTGATGGGACACAGTGGCCCCATGCCTGCTGTCCGGATGCTGCCCACATATGTGGGCTCTACCCCACATGGCACTGGTGGGTGGCTAGGCCTGGAAGGGGTGCTGGTCTGGAGAGGGGAATCCTTTATTCCTGTCTCCCCTCCTAAGGTCCCTTGACCAGACTCTGCAGTTATAGGAATGTTTGTGGGAGACAGTGGCTCTGTATGCCTTTATGTGACTTGCTTGTCCCCAGAGCAAGGAGACTTTGTGGTGCTGGAGCTGGGGGCCACAGGGGCCTCAATGCGTGTTCTGTGGGTGACTCTGACGGGCACCAAGGGGCGTAGAGTGCAGCCTAGGAGCCAGGAATTTGTGATCCCCCCAGAGGTGATGCTGGGCCCTGGCCAGCAGGTAAGCATTCCCAGCCCAGCCTCTGGGGACTGGGGCTGGCAGTGGGGCACACGATGGCTGAGCTGAGCACCCATATATCCCTCAGCTCTTTGACTTCGCTGCCCACTGCCTGGCTGAGTTCCTGGAGGCACTCCCTGTGGGCAATCAGTGTCTGCCGCTTGGGTTCAACTTCTCCTTCCCTTGTCACCAGACAGGCCTGGACAGGGTGAGGTGGAAAGGGCACAGGACAGTGGTTGTGGGGGCGGGGGATGGAATGCAGCCCCAAGAAGACCTTTGAAAAGGTGACCTGGCTTCTCTGCCTCCAGAGCACCCTCATTTCCTGGACCAAGGGCTTTAGGTGCAGTGATGTGGAAGGCCAGGACGTGGTCCAGTTGCTGAGAGAGGCCATCAAGAGGCAGGGGGTGAGTGTGGGCAGGTGCCCTAGGAGGGCTGCCCATATGACTGGGTCCTAGGCCTGGACCATACAGGCTGAGTCTGTGTTTCTGGGATGCCCGTGCCAACACTAACCCTCACTCCACACAATACCTTCCTTCTCTGTTCATATCCTTTATCGGGTTTATCCCTGAGGAAAATTTGCCACTATTTCCATTTTACAGATAAAGAAACTGAGGCTGAAAATCCAGTTGCCATAGATTTGACCCTGACTCATGATAACCCCATGTGTGTCACAGTAGAATGTGCTCCATAGAGTTTTCAATGGCTGATTTTTTGGAAATAGATTGCCAGGCCTTTCTTCTACAGCTCCTTTGGGTGGATTTGAACATCCAGCCTTTTGGTTAGCAGCCAAGTATGTTAACAATTTGTACTACCCAAGAACTCCAAACTGAGGCCAGGGAAGGTCAGATACGTGTTCAGGACCCTGTGGGAAAACAAAGATGAAAAGACTCTGGCCCTGTCCTTGAGGATCTCCTAGTCTAGTAGGGACAGCATTCCCATATAAGCATGTCACTCTTGAATGACTCTGGGGGCACCAAGGTAGGAACACCTGTCACCTGCACAGAGGCTTGAAGGAGGGGTTTGCTGGTTGCATAAGCTGTAACTGAACAGGTGATCTGATCTCAAGAATGGCATGTGCAAAAAAAAAGGCTGGATGCTTGAGAAAGTGGGAACTGCCTGTGAGCAGAGGTAGGAGTTAGGGCTCAGAGGGTGAGACTTGGGGAACCAGGCCAGGAGGAGAATAAGGGCAGTGAATATGCAGCATTTATTTATTTATATAACTTTGTGTTGTAATTTGGGTGAAATTTTACAAAGAAGATTCATTTTACATTCAACAGTTCATGTACATTGTATTTTATGACACTGATTACAGTCCACAGGATGTAACAGCTCTCTTCCCACTTCCTCCCAGTAGTTACCCTTTCCCTGTGTCCTTCCTGCCTATGCATTCCTAAATGCTCAATATTTAAGGAGACCCTCCTGTTCAAGTTTGGCCTTGTGGGGAACACCATTGCTCAGAGGTGATAGCTAAGGTTGGGAGCCACAGGACCCCTGAGGACTGAGTTCAGGAGGGAGGAGTAGAGGTGGGTGTAAGAGGGAGGAAACCCCCTAGGGTAGAACCTAGAATGTATGTGAGACAGAAAAGTGTGCTCATCTGTGTCTAATGGGCCTGGGCATCTCTCTCACACTGGGCAACTCCACCCCACCCATCCACCAGGCCCCTGACTTCTGTCCTATCCGTTGTGTAGACCTCCAACCTCGATGTGGTTGCTATGGTGAATGACACAGTGGGCACCATGATGGGCTGTGACCCAGAGCTTGGGCCATGTGAGATCGGGCTTGTTGTAGGTGAGTGGGGCCATTCGCAAAGTGGGTGGGGGCAGTTGGGGGTGGCTGTTTGGTGAGGAGACTCTGACGGGGTTGTCTCTACCAGACACTGGCACCAATGCCTGTTACATGGAAGAAGCACGGCATGTGGCAGCACTGGATGAGGACCGGGGCCGTGTCTGCGTCAGCATTGAATGGGGCTCCTTTGGTGATGATGAAGTCCTGGGGCCATTGCTGACCCCCTTCGACCGTGCTCTGGACCAGGAGTCTCTGAATCCTGGTGCCCAGAGGTGGCCCTGCCTTACTGCTTTGGGGCCCTCACTGCTCTGTTTCCCAGCCCTGGGCTCTGCCTGTCCCGCTATGCTCAGGCCTTTAGACTCTTGCCTCACACTAACTGTCTCCAGGGAGCTCCCTGAGGGCCCTGGCTGGGTGCAAGGAAGAAAGGGCTTAAGGTTCTAGAACCCTGAGTTCTCAACCTTTGGCATCCTTCCCTGTGGACTCTGGCTGGTGCTAACAGGGGTTGGGGGCTGGAGGGTAACTGAACAAAGTGTTCCTTGACCTCCTCTGGGCCCTGCTGCTCCTGCAGAAGGTCCCTGAACCTAACTCAGGCCAGAGGGGCACTAGGGTCTGGTCAGGTACCCACTTGCCTCCTAGGAGGTCTTTGCTTCTGGAGCCTCCCATTTGAGGACCCCTCAGAAAATGTGGGGTTTCTTGGAGGCTGAGCCTGCTGGGCTGAGGGCTTAGGAAAGGCTCTGTCCCATTGTTCTTCCCACCTCCAGATTTGAGAAGATGATTGGGGGCCTATACCTGGGTGAGCTGGTGCGGCTGGTGCTGGCTCACCTGGCTCGGCGTGGGATCCTCTTTGGGGGCTGTACTACCCCTGCCTTACTGAGTCAAGGCAGTGTGACCCTGGAGCATGTGGCTGAAATGGAGGAGTGAGTGGGGAGAAAGAAGGGGGGGTCTTGGGCCAGGTCAGGTGCTGTGTCCCCCAAGAGGCCATGGACTTCCATTGAGGGTGAAAACTGGGAGGTTCTGGGCTACTGAGCCGCAAACCTGTGCCCTGTTCCTCCCCAGCCCCTCAACTGGGGCAGCCAGAGTCCTCGCTGTCCTGCAGAACTTGGGTCTGAGACCAGGGCCCTCAGATGTGGAACTCATACAGCATGTGTGTGCAGCTGTGTCCACAAGATCTGCTCGCCTCTGCGCTGCTGCGCTGGCTGCTGTCCTCAGCCGCCTCCAGCACAGCCGGGAGCAGCACACACTCCAGATTGCCGTGGCCACTGGAGGCCAAGTGTTTGAGCGACACCCTAGGTATTGTGGATGTGCTGTCCTGTGTGAGCAGGTGGTGTTAATGTGCATATGTGGTGGTATACACACAGAGGGCCCCCATTATGTACCATGACTACACATGCATGTGAAAGCTGAGTGTACAAATGGCACCCAAACAGAAGAGGGTTTGGTGAGATGATCGGCTGCCTGAGAGGCGAAAGGAGAGGCCAATGCTTCTCTCTCTGTGTGGAGGGTGGGAGCTGTGTATGGTTGGTGCCTAGAACACATTTAGGGTGGAATTGGTTCACGGTGACAGGGCCTGGGGGTCGGGGTGGTGCTGAGCTGGGTGTGCCCATGTATCCACAGGTTCCACAATGTCCTGCAGGAGACAGTGATGCTCCTGGCCCCTGAGTGTGACATCTCTTTCATTCCTTCTGTGGATGGGGGTGGCCAGGGTGTGGCAATGGTGACTGCCGTGGCTGCCCGCTTGGCCGCCCACCGGCACCTGGTGGAGGAAACACTGGCACCATTCCAGCTGGACCAGGAGCGGCTGGCATCAGTGCAGGTCCAGATGCGGGAGGCCATGGCCAAGGGACTCCGTGGGGAGGCCTCCTCCCTGAGCATGTTGCCCAGCTATGTCCGTGCCACACCCGATGGCAGTGGTGAGACTTAGCTCACTGTGGGGCCAGAATATGGACCCCTGGGGATTGCAGAGTGTGACAAGCTCCATCCTGACACTCAGAGTCTCTGTCCCACAGAACGTGGAGACTTCTTGGCCTTGGACCTTGGAGGAACCAACTTCCGGGTCCTCCTGGTGCGTGTGGCTGCTGCAGGTGTGAAGATCACCAGCCAGGTGTATGCTATCCCTGAGTGCGTGGCCCAGGGCTCTGGGCAGCAGGTACCCACAGCCTGAGCCTGATGCTGGGGCAGGGGATGGCTGGGTGGGACCCAGTGACTGACCCGGACACTCCTGCAGCTCTTTGACCACATCGTGGACTGCATCATGGACTTCCAGCAAAGGCAGGGCCTGGGTGGGCAGAGCCTCCCCCTGGGCTTCACCTTCTCCTTCCCGTGCAAGCAGGTCGGCCTGGACCAGGTGAGGGAGAGAAGCCCAGGAGAGTAATCTCCAAGGCCTCCCTTGATGGATTGGGCAGGAGGCCAGGGGTGGGGTGTGAGTGGCCTGAATTGAGGGGTGGGGGAGGCAGAGGCACTGCTGGGTTTCTTCTGCATTTGACCTCAGTTTCCCCAAGTGAAAGTGACATGATGAAATGGCTGAGTCCAGGGCCATGATGAAGCCTGGGGAGGAAAAGGACATGATACCCATGGGAACCACCAATGGGCAGGAGAGTAGAGCCAGGGCTTGGGGGTAGGGGCACTTGCTTTCAGGACAGGCAAGATGCAGGGCTGGTGACCATCCCAATTATAGCATGGTGCCCTGGCCTGGACCGTGTGGGGAGTGGCACTGGCTCTGTGTGTCTAGGGGTCTGTGGTGGCACAGTGTCTTTGCCCTGTTCCCCCTTCCACCCTTCCTTGCTGCCTTCTCAGGGCTTGGCTCTGTACTGGATACCCAACTGGGGCAGCAGAGAAGCATGTGGTAGTCTGGAAGCAGCACCCTGTCAGTACACACCTCTGTGTGTCCTGAGATGTGTGTAATAAATTATTAGGTAGACACACAGATCTAGCCCCTGCAGGCATTAGGCCAGGCTCCCAGGACTCTCTTCACTTTCCAGCTTTTACCTAGATGCCCACCATTGATTCTGAGACCCTAGTGGTCACTGGAAGCTTTAACTATCTGGACTCCACCTAGCCTTGGGGTGGTGTACACCCTCTGACCCTATGCCCTACTCTGACCCGCTCTGACCTGGGACGGCTTTGGGCTTTCTATGATGTGCTGCTCTATGGGTCGTGTGATTGGCATTGGTCTCTCTCTCAGTCGGCTCTGCTTTGGGCTGAGTGTGCTCATTCTTTTTGATCAGTCCTTATAAGGTGCAGAAGCACAGACCCAGGTGTGCAAGAAGTGTGGCCTCATTCATTTTCCTATAATTGAACTTAATTTCCACGTTGAACTCCCAGGCTTTGAGAGTTGATGACTTAGTGTTGACCCACTCAAGGACCCCCTTCCCAAGCAGAGGCTCTGTTCCAGAGAGGCTAGGCACCCAGGCAGGTGGAATACTACCTGGGACCCTCTCAGCTGCATACTATCCTGCTGCTATATACAGCATGCAAACACTTGGGGACCAATGAGATGACCCAGGCCCCAGCTGTCTGGACCTCCCTCTCCCACTGCCTTCCTCAAGTCTTCACATCTCCCTGGGTATTACCTGGAGAAGCTGGACAGAGGCCTCTTCTGCTCTCAGATCACCCAATTCTCTGTCTCCTCTCCACAGTGAGGCTCAGTCTAGGGTGGGAGGGCACAGGATATCTTTCTTGGGGGCTCCCACAAACCTAACTCTGGCTCTCCCTCTACTTCCCCTTCCCCAGTCTGGGGCATCTTTATCTCGTCTGGGAGCCAGAGGCTCCACTACTCCTTCATGATCTGATCTCCCCTAGACTGGTTCTCCTTCATCCTCTTCTCACTGCCTCTTTTCTCTGTGTTTGATTCAATGAGCATAGAACATTTTAGCTGCTGTCGAGATGGAAAAAGGGATACTAGTAAATATCATTGGGAAAACAAGTTGGTTAATATTTCTAAAATATCCTGCCCCAAAGACATCCAGACCTCCTCCACAAGCTCCTATTTCAGGTAAAGACTCCCATTGGCCACAGAACTGTTCCTGCTCCCCTCCCACTCCCTCAGAGGAGGTACACCAAGAAAAGAACATTCCTGGGTGCAGTCATACCCTTCTTGCTAAGTTCACTATTTGTTTAGTTTCTCACAAGAGAGCCTCATTGATCTTGCCCCCTGATTCTGCCCAAGTGTCTGGGTTCTGGCTTTCCTACCTGTCTTGCACTCATCTCTGGAACACAAGAGCCAAATTCCAATGAATGTGGCTCTGTCCCCCACTCCGAGCATTCCTGCTTCTCAAGTGACTCTCCCAAGTTCTTTCTGCAAGAGTGGAATCTGCTGTCATTAGGACCTCTGAGCCATCTCTGTCCTCTCTTCTCAAACACACAGCACTCACTTTCCCATCTCTACTCATTCCTAACCCAATTATGCAGGGCCATTCCATCTGGGTAAATGTCTTAAAACTCTCAGACTATCTGAGCATCCTGGAACTAGTAATAGAAGACAGTGGTCAGTGCTTTTTAGTAGGTTTCTTTACACTGAAAACCTCCTGGGAAAAGAGAAAGGAGCAGAGGGCAAGGCCTTGAACCACACATGGCAAACTGGAATGGATCTTCCTTGGGGTAGGGGGGAAATTGGATGTGTGGTGGGAGTTAGGCTTTGAACAGGCAGAGTAAACTTCCACTGCTGTAAGGGGCCTCCAGCTTCCTGTCCTCCTCGGTCCCACCCCAGGGCATCCTCCTGAACTGGACCAAGGGTTTCAATGCATCAGACTGTGAAGGCCATGATGTCGTGGCTCTGCTGCGGGAGGCCATTGGTCGCAGACAGGTAAGAGCCTCTAGGGGTCCCTGGTGGGAAGGGGATTGCAGCAGGCCTTAGGGGAAGCAAAAGGTCTCTGGCTTTCTGAGAAAGGGACCCTCTACAGTAGAGACCTCTGAGTCCAGCACTGGTTGCCATGACAACTATGTTGCCCAGCAACCAGCAGCATCCTTTTGTGTGCAGGCAGTGGAGCTGAAAGTGGTTGCCATTGTCAATGACACGGTGGGTACCATGATGTCCTGTGGCTATGAAGACCACCGTTGTGAGGTTGGCCTCATTGTTGGTAAGGAGGAGGCCCTGCTCTTTTGTGTTCCTACTGCCTGAAGTTAGTTCACTGCCTGACATTGATTCCTCAGAGTGGATGTCTCCTGGCATTGGGGATGTGGGATCATTCCCATCCTATCCAGTGGATCACTGGAAGGTACAGCTGGGCTAGGAGTCTGGAGCTTGGGATTCTAGCCCAGCTCAGCCACTGTCTCAGTCATTTAAACTCTCTGAACCTCAGTTTGTAAATTTGTAAAATGAACCTGGGCTTTTGGATGAAATGCCTGGGGATCTACTTCTAAAAGATCTGTCATTGAAAAACCCTGTGGGACACAGTTCTACTATGACACACATGGGATGGCCATGAGTCAGAACTGACTAGATAGTAACTGATGGTTTTTTTTTTAATCTGTATGACCTTGAGTATGTTACCTGTTTCCTTGTCTCTAAGATGGACATAAAGAGGTCTGGTGACATAGGGGGTGAAGCATTTGGATGCTAACCAGAAGGTCAGTGGTTCAAACTCACCAGCTGCTCCATGGGAGGAAGTAGAGGCAATGTACTTCTGTAAAGATTTACTGCTTTGGAAAACCAGTGGAGGTCGCTAAGAGTTGGAATCCACTCAATGGCAATGGTTTTTTAAAGATGGACGTAATGATAAAGCCTGTCTCAAGGGGTTGTAAGGATAAATGAGGGGGCAAATGTGGTGTGTGCCTTGCTCAGGGTATGCACTCCAAGTTTGGAACTCAGTGATGTGGGGCAATGAGCTAGAAGGGCCCAGCATCCACTTCAATATTGCAAGGTTCAAGTCTTTATTAAGCACCTACCCTGTGGCCAGCTGAGGGCTGGATGATGGGGCAGAAAGACATATAAAAGAAGGGGAATCCCTGCTTTCTTGGGAAGGGCTACCCAGTAGGGAGTTGAGCCCAGAGCAGCAAGTGGCTGTTAGAGAGGTGACACTGACTCCAAACAGGGTGGCCAGATTCCAACAGGGCCAAGGTCAGGAAGGAAAAGGTCCTGGGATGAGAAGGGATTAACAAAGCCTAGGAAGGGGTTGGCTTTGGAGGGGAGGAGGGTTACCCCACAGCTCCTTGGATGTGGATCTCTTAGAACATGAGACAAACAGCAGCCCCCCAGTGGCCTGACATGTGGCAGTAGGTCAGCACAGCCACACCCTGATCTCTGTATGCATAAACAATGGGATGGATGGGTTCCAGGTGAGGGCCAGCAAGAAGACCTAGAACTGAAATGTGTTGGGAATAGGAAAGAGACCCCTTTACACAGTATGGGCCCACTGCCTTGAATGCCTTTTCCTTTCTGTGCTTCTTGATGTTAAGATGTTATTCAAACATCACCTCCTCTCTGGAGTTTTCTTGACCCTCTGGGCTCCCTCATGCTCTTTGTGCTTCTCCTAGGACCCATGCAGGCAGCAGTAGAGCTGGTTATTCACTGCCATCCTCTCGCCAGACTGTAGAGCTCCTCCCATGTGATTTCTTACAAGGTTCCCAGCTCCTGGCCCAGAACCTATGTTTGAGGGCCTGGGAGGCTGATCTTGAGAGTTGGGGCTTCTTACTTGCAGACAGTGGAGATCTGTCACATGACCCCCAGGGAATAATATGAGGGGAATTGTAGAATGAGCATTCTGGGTTGGCATGGCAGAGGCACTAATGGTAGGGCATTGGGAAAAAAGAAGGACCAGGACTGGACAGACAACAGGTTGAGTTTGGGGAAATGGAGAGGTCAGGAAGGAGTCCCAACTGTGCACTGGTAGTGGTAAGGGCTCAGAGGGGCTTAGTCCCTGCCAGTTAATGGCTCCTACCTAATTTGGCCTCTATAGGAACGGGTACCAATGCCTGCTACATGGAAGAGCTCCAGAATGTGGCAGGTGTGCCTGGGGACTCTGGCCATATGTGCATCAACATGGAGTGGGGCGCCTTTGGGGATGACGGCATGCTGGATGTGCCTATCACCTGCTTTGATGCAAGTGTGGACAGAGAGTCCATCAACCCTGGCAAGCAAAGGTGGGCTGAGCCTAGGCAGCAGGGGCTAGTGGTAGCTGGCACTGGCAGCAGTAGTGGCTGATGGAGTCTCCTGTGTGTGTACACATGCACACATGTTCACACAGGTTCGAGAAGCTGATCAGTGGCATGTATCTGGGGGAGATCGTCCGCCATATCCTGTTGCATTTGAATAGCCTTGGTGTGCTGTTTCGGGGCCAGCAGACCCAGTGTCTACAGACCAGGGACATCTTCAAGACTAAGTTCCTATCAGAGATTGAAAGGTACCTGTGGCATGCATCCACCTACCCTACCCTACTCCCAAAAACCCTATCTCCATGGTGGGTGGAGCACTGGGGGTGGTCTGCCCTGGAGGATAGACATGAAAGGAGTCCTGGGGGGAGCTTCCAATGCACAAACCCCACCTTTCTGCCCCTCCACCCCTCGCCTGCTCCCCAGCGACAGCCTGGCCCTGCGGCAGGTCCGAGCCATCCTGGAGGACCTGGGGCTTCCTCTGACCTCAGATGACGCCCTGGTGGTCCGAGAGGTGTGCCAGGCGGTGTCCCGGCGGGCTGCCCAGCTCTGTGGGGTGGGTGTGGCTGCCGTGGTGGAGAAGATCCGTGAGAATCGGAGCCTGGAGGAGCTGACAGTGACTGTGGGTGTGGATGGAACCCTCTACAAACTGCACCCCCAGTGAGTGTGGGAGCCTGGGCTGGGCAGGGAGGCAGGGCAGCTGGGGCCAGCTGGCCTAGGCTCACCCTAGCCTCTGCCCTCCCAGCTTCTCCAGCCTAGTAGCAGCCACTGTGCGAGAGCTGGCTCCCCGCTGTGCAGTCACCTTCCTGCAATCAGAGGATGGCTCTGGCAAAGGTGCAGCCCTGGTCACTGCCGTCGCCTGCCGCCTTGCCCAGGCAGCCCAAGTCTGAAGATGTCTCTAAGAACCATGAGGTCTCAGCCCCAGCCTTGCTGCACCAGGGCCCAGGCCCAGGCTCCCCACAGCTGGGCTCCCCACCCCAGGACCCCTAGACTATCCTGTGTGTGACCCCTTGGAGGCCACCCAGCCTCTGCCCATAGCTTTCCATGAGAGAAGTAGCACTCAGGTTAGCAATATATATATATAATTTATTTACATTCATGTCCGCTAAAATCCCTACGCGCCCCGGCGGCCGGACAAGGCTGTGTACATAAGGCCAAGTGTAAGTGCATGAATGCACTTAAGACGGAGTCAGGACACAAGCTTCACACGGTGGCCCGCATGGGGCTTGGCCAGCCCCAGGACGGGCACGCCTGGCACACACACTCGCCATTGCCCAGCACGGGGCTCCCATTGCATATTCACACACCCCACCAGGCAGGGCACCTTGCGGCTGGGGCCTGGGGTCGGGGGTTAGGGGTACGGGAGAGCCACCCAGTGTCCCTGGTGGTTGGGAGCAGGGCAGCATGTGAGAGGCAGATGTGTACAAACACTGGGGGGCGTGAGGGACGTGTGCGAGACCCCGGTGCACAGGAGTGAGATGTGACGGTGGTGGAGGGCGTCCGCACAATGGGTGCATGAGCCAGGCATGTGCACGTGCCTGTGTGTGGTCATGTGCCTGAGTCCAGAGGCCTCTCCTGCCCGCCCGGCCATGCCCTTGGTCCCGCAGCCTTGGAGCGGGCCCCTCAGATGTGCCCCTACCCAGCAGGCACAGAAACGTTTGCATAAGGTCCAGCTCAGGCAGGAGGCGGGGCTGTGGCCCGAGCCCAGAGTGTGCGTGCATGTCCGTGTGCATGCGGGGCCCTGGCCAGGGGCAGAGGAGAGGTAGCATCACACGCACAGACACACACACGAATGGGCTGGGCCTGGCCTGGCTCTGGGCACTATCTCCCCAGGCCCCAGGGGCTGGAGCAGAGTCAGAGCAGGTGGCAATGCCAGCCTGGCCAGGCAGGCCATGGAGGGCGAGAGTGTGGGCAGGATCTGAAGGACCGGCATTAAGGGATAGCATCAGCCAGAAGGGGGCCTGTCCATGAAGCTCTCCCTAGAGTGGGGGGAGGGTCCCTGCCTGGCGTCTGTCTGTCCCTGGTGGGTGCCAAAGCTGGTGAGAATGTAGGCGTTGGGTGCCCAGTGGCCTCAGCACTCGGCCTCTGACACCGTGAAGAGGCCAGAGTCTGGTTGTCCCAGTCCGGTCACAGCTGCGGCCAGCTGGCTGAGGTTGCCGTTGGGAAAGTGCCGTGCCTCCCACAGGTTGAGGATCATGGCTGTGGGACTGGGCTTGGAGGCAAAGAAGCTAAGATGGCTGTGAAGGGGAGAAGAGCCCAATCAGCAGCCTGGCCTCCACCCAGGCTGCCTGCCTCCTGCCCCAGCCCCAGCCCACCCACCCAGCCCATCCAGGGCAGGACTTCCCTATTGCCAAGCACCGGGGTGGCTAGTGGACATGGTCCAGCCCCCCAGGGTATGGAACCTGGGCTTCCTGTTTCTTTCCCCTTCTGCCCCGTCCACCCAGCTGGGCTGTAGCTGGCCCTTGAAGGGCCTGTCTCTGCTGGCCCATCTCCACCCACCTGTCCAGGTGGAGTTTCTGGGCTAGAGTCCGCCAGTCAGCACCCCGGCTGCAGGGCGGGTCTAGGCTGGTAATGATCTTCTGCCGAATGAGGAAGGGGATCTTGAAGGCACTGGGGCCCACCAGGGCGGGGACCCCCCCTTCACTCTCCAAAGCCAGCAGCTCTGCAAACCTTGTGTCCTGGAGAAGGGAGAGGTGGAAGGCCTGTTAGAACTTTCAAAGCTCAGCCTCACTGCTGCCTCCTGACAGAGCCTTCCCAGGCAAGGGACTGGTGCCAGGTGCTTAGCTTCCACTAGCTCAGAGGTGCAGTGACTTGCCCAGTCACACATCAGTGGCCCCACCATTACCCCTCCAGGTTGCCTCTGCCTGGCCCGTTAACCATAACTGCCTTTGTTCCACACACACCGTTCCTCACTGCTGCCTGCTAAACCCCTACTCATCTACCAGATGAGGTACCTGCTTAGGGATACCCTCCAGGTCCCCAGGTGGGCTCTTACCTGCCCCCTACTCCTTGTTCCCCATCCTTTTCAACTGGCTTCCCAAGTCCTAATGCATTTGTTTGTATTTGCAGCTGCACCTCTCTCCCCCAGGAGACTGGGTAGCTACCAAGGGCTTCCCAGGAGGAAGTGTGCCTGGGTGGGCTTGGTGGCAGGGGCAGGCAGGGTAGGCCCAGAGTGGGGAGCATCCTGGGGGTTTGGAGCACACACACGGCAGCATTAAAGTTCCCCCTCTTGCCCACCTTGGTGATATTGTAGTTAACGTTGAAGCTCTGCCCGTCGCCCTCCACCTGCCACACCCACACCTTGCAGGCCAGCTCACTGGTGCTGGGGCTAATGCGCTCCAAGGTGAAGGTACAGTGCAGGTACTGCTGCGTGCCATTCCAAATGTGATAAAAGGGGATCTCCTGGGGAGGAGGAGCAGAGGGGAGGCACCTCATCAGATGTGCCCAGCCCAGGTATGCCCAGCCCCAGGCATGCTGAGAGCTGGCCTGCAAGCCCAGACCTCACCTGGTAGCTGACGAGCAGCTTGCTCTTCCACAGGGAGCTGGGCACGTCGTGGATGGACAGGCGCAGGTTGTGGTAACTGTCCTTGAAGTGCAGGACTCGGGGCTCCTGGATCAGCTGGCCCCCCAGCTGCTTCTCTAGCTGTACCACCTCCTGTGGCACCCAGGCTGGTCAGCTGGGTCTGAGGGGCCCCTCCCACCATCCACCCACCTTAGCAAGGAGGCTTCCATGCCCAGGAACCCTGGGGTGGTCAGCCCCAGTACCCTGCCACCCCAGTGGCAGGGCTGGTGAGGTGGTGGTACCTTGAGGGCATCATGGGTGTCATGCAGGCAATAGACCCGGATGTTGTACTCAAGTGAGGTGCAGGCCATGGGTGCAAACAGGAGCAGCCTGAGACGCTTGGCTGCAGCCACACTGAGGGCCTCTCCCACCAGGGCAAAGCGGCCCAGCTGCTCGGTGAAGATGTAGCAGGAGCCAGCCTCCAGCTGGCAGTAGTAGAGATGGGAGGGTGCCTCCTCACCCAGGTGCAGTACGTCCTGCAGGCAGGTCTGGTGGTCAGCACAGCTGGCCCTCTCAGCCCTCAGGCCACTGTGCTCAGAAGTGGCTGAGAGACTCGGGGGATCAGAGATGGCTGCATGGCTGCATCTCCACTTTGAGACCAGTGTTGGGGGTCTGCGGGTGTGGGGACTCCCCTGGCTCACCTCCCAGCTGCCCTCACATGACTGCTTCTTGAGGCGCAGGCTCCAGCTCTCAGGACTGGGCTCCCCACAGTGGTCCATGGCAAGGATGACAGGCCGTGTGAGCAGGACTCCAGGGGGCCCGCAGCTAACGATGGGACTCAGCAGGGTCTGACAGCCAGCTAGGGGCAACCTCAAGTGGGGAAACAGGGGCAGGAAGGGAGAGGTGTCAGCGGGCCATCCTGGGGGCAGGGCCTGAGGGGTCAAGACAGAGCATTCCAGGGTGGAGGTGTGGAGCTGGGTGGGCTCGGGGCAGCTCTTCCCCTACTCTCCCTTCAGGCCAGGCCAGACCAGACGGGAGCAGTGGTAGGGAGGAGGCATCGTGGTGAGGGAAGGCAGAAGGCGGGACCACAGGAACCACCCACTGCACCCTTTGTAGCACTGCCCATGCCCACACCTCACATCCTCGGGCTTGTGCAGTGTGAGGTAGATCTCGTAGATCTTCCCCCGGGGTATGGCATCTGGGGGTATGAGAAGGCTGATCCCTGAAATAAGACAGGGGAACCAGAGCTGACCTGCTGCAAACATATTACACCCCCCACACCCCATGCAGTAGGGGAAAACTGCCTGTGCCAGCCTGCCCTTGGAACAGAGGAGCCACAGGGACCACCATGCTTTCCAACCAGGTCATACTAACTGAGCAGCTCCCCCACTACAGCATGATGCAGGGTCACAGGAACCCCAAAAGCAGCTGAGAGAACTCAGGGGAAAAACATGCCTCATTAGCTTTAGCACAGAAAATTCTGCAGAAATGGTCCCAGGTGTATCACACCTAGCTGTCACACAGAAGGCACTGGGTGTGACCTGTTTATAACTCTTCACTGCCCCCTAGATAAAGTCCAGTTCCCTGGTCTGACATGTGAGGCCCATTACCTCTGGCCCAGCCTGTGCAGTATCCTCAGCCATTCCAGACCCACTGCCTTGAACACACCTCCATCTGTCTGGGTGCTCTGCCCCCTGCCCTGCTCAGGGTCCTCCTTCCCCACTGGTGGCCACCTCGGGGAACTCCTGAACACTGTGTGCTTTTGTTCCTTGCTGGGCAGCCCTCCCTGGTCTGGAAGTTGTTTTAGACACTTTCTTGTTTGAGCTGATTGACCTTTGTCCCCAGTATCTTTTGGAGTCTGGAGAACTATGTCAAGAAGTGTCTGCTGAGGAGGACTGATTCTAGGCAGGAGGCAGTGAGTCAGAACACAGCAAGGACAGGGCTGGGGTGGCAAAGAGTGGTCCTGCCCCCTGATTTCCTTCCCTTTGAGGATAGTGTTATGTGTCCCCTCCAAAAGATAGGCTGAAGTCCTAACCCCTGTCCTTGTGCATGTGACCTTGTTTGGAAATAGGGGTTTTGAAGATGTTATCAGTTACCGGAGGCCACACTGGAGTAGGGTAAATCCTAATTCTATATGACTAAACCAAACCAAACCAAACTTACTGCCATCAGTCAATTCCGACTCATAGTGACCCCCTTTGGGTTATCGAGGTGGTAAATCTTTACGGAAGTAGGTTACCCAGTCTTCCTTCCAGGGGGTGGTTGGTGGGTTTGAACCTCTAACCTTCTGGTTAGCAGTCAAATGCCTTAGGCACTAGACACCACCAGAGCTCCTTTCCTATATGACTAAACTCACTGCCGTTGAGTTGATTCAACTCATAGTGACCC